CCAACTTTAAGTCTTACCTCTCTCTTGTCTCTCTCTTTGTATATATCTATTGCATCTATTATTCATTATTTATTTTACCATACCTGCTACACCCCCTCTTCTTGTTCCTCTTATTTATTTATTTCACTGTCATGTTTAATGTCTTGTATGTCCTGTGAGGTGTATGTCAATAAAGATTATTATTATTATTAAATCAACACTTTGTTGCTGGGTTTTTTTTAAATTAAACAAACATCAGATACACAACGATCCATTTTATTTTAATATTAAGAAATCTCACAATAAAAGTCTTGACTGGATCTTATCCATAAACGGCAATATGCACAGCAAATTTAATGTTTTTTTTTTCTTACGTAAACAATAACTTAGATTTACTTATTTATTACGCTCATACAAATTTCTTACAATATATACACATGCCCTTATTCATTAACTTCTTTCAATTACAATTAACATTTATTTTAATAATAACATTATAACTTTAATGCACATAAAAGATAAGAATAAGGGCCGAAATTATGTTACAATATTGTCCAAAATTTATAAATATTAATTTCAAAATTAAAGGTAATCAAATTTAATACCCTGTTTGGAAAGATTTTTTAATTTTAAAATTAAACAAAACCATAAGTATTATTTTTTAAAATTTGTACATTTACGTACGTATATTCGTGTCTAGTTAAATTGTTATTATTCTGTTGAATGCGTAGTCAGCCTCTGGAGACGCACATATTGTTTTAAACGAAACATCGTTATAATTTAAAATAACACGATATTTATTTATAAGAGTAATTAAACTGACCGGCTATTACAAATCCAAAATTTTTATACAATATAATCAGTAATAATATAGTAATAAATAACAGCTTATAATAGGGTATTTGACAGTGTTAAAAATAAAGTGCCAATTGTTATCATCTGTGTTTAGGATGAATATTGGCAGGGGTTTTTACTATTTTTACAATAAAAATATTCACAATTTTACTAAAAAACTAACGAAAAAGATAATAGTTTTCTTATCTATTGTCACGTGACCCATAAGCTTGAGATTGGCCGAGCCTAAAATGACGTCACACGCAAGTAAACTTCCGATTAAAGTGACATTGCATTTTATCGTTTGACGTTTTAATAACAGTCGTGTGACGTCACACACTAGTAAGACGCCATATTGTAAAGAGAAACGTTTTCGCGGCAACTTGAAAATGGAGTTTTTGATTTTTTTTGGTTATTTTTACTGAAATACACAACAAAATGATGAATATCCACTTTTTACGGACTCCATAAGCATAAGTCAATAACGTGGGATCGTTTTCTAAAACTTGTCAAATACCTTATTAACTGCATTTTTTTAACAAAGGTAACTTGATAATTCAGACGACTCATCCTGAAAAGGATGCGAAGCGCCTATAAATAAATAAATCAGTGCATCTATACCGTTGAAACATGTTTTATTTAAAGGTAACTTTTTATAAAACTATACAGGGTGTTACAAAAATACAAATAAAGCTTTGAAGGGCGTTGAAGTTCATCATTTAAGGAGTCTTCTCTAAATTTCTTCAAATATTTGCATGAAGTTTTAAATTTTTATAAAAACAGTTATTTTTAATGATTAATAAATATATCGATCATTTTAACACACGTCACTAGTTCGAATACTGTACTTTAACGCCCTTCAAGCTTTATTTGTATTTTTGTAATAACCTGTATAATTAAATATAATGAATGCTTCAATATGGCTAAAAATAAAACCAATTAATGAAATGGTGGGTAATTTATTTGTACTACCGAGTTTATTTAAATTGCGGTGTTATGTTATTGTGAAATGAATATAAACACAAGAATCTTAAAGAAAACACAGACCTTGTAGAAACCTTTTAAGCCTTAACCGGAAATCTTTATACAATAGATTTATCATCAGAATAATACACATCAACCAGGAAAGCTACCACGTTACTACACTGCAATATACTAAACGTACAGTACCCCTAGCACGAACCATTATCTAATTCGAATAGTTTGCGAGTGCGAAATGTCAATGTCAAATTTATATGTATATACTCGTAATAGATTGATGAAATGCCTTGTGTTTCCAATCTTTCTTTATGGAGCCGAAACTTGGTCTTTGAGACTGCAGGATCGCCGTAAAATCGATTCAATGGAGATGTGGTGCTGGAGACGCCTCCTAAAGATCCCGTGGACGGCATTTCGTACCAATGAATCCATCCTCAAAGTGCTTCGTGTTAAAGACAGACTCTCGTCAATTGTACAACTACGAATACTGAAGTTCTTTGGTCACATCTCTAGAAATGAGAATTTGATGGAAGGGCTGGTGGTTCAAGGTCAGGTGGAAGGCAAGAGAGCACGCGGTCGATCACCAACCCGCTGGATAGACGCCATCACAAAGGCTGCTGAGTCCAGCATTGTTCAGTGTACTCGCGACGCCTCGAACCGTCAGAAATGGAAGCACATCGCCAGGACAGCTACCCTTGGAATTGATAGCGACTCAAAGAACACCCCACCATGTACCTCGTCAGTGCAGCCACGACCACTCTGACAAGAGTGTCCGACTAAGAAGAAGAGTATATAATAGTATGACAACTTAAACAGCAGCGTTACAACGGTTTTTTTTATTTTGTTGAAGTTCTCCCGTTTTAGGGAAGGCAAAGGGAACAATGCCCATACAGCCTGGTCTTTAATTAAATTAATCTTCTTTTTGTTTTTACATTAGAATGTCGGTGTGACGTATTCTAATGTTTCTTGGAGTGTTTGGCACGAAATGTATCGAGTTGGCTTTTTCGATAAGCTTCTGTGTGGTAGTCAACACTAAAATAAAATTCTCACGTCCACTTGACCGGAATAGCGTATATTTTAATGATTCCACTAATTCTTCAGTTACGCAGACAGTTGTTACACAAAACCACACCAATTTTATTTCACAATATCCACTGTGAACGAATTTAAGAATAATTAAAATAAGACGCCAACCGCACTCGATGAAATCCCGCCAAAAACCCGTTACAACGTAGTGTTGCCAGGTGTCATTATTTGCGCAGGATGTCCCGATTCCTACCAGATCGGATGCTAAATGTCCCGCTTAATAATAAAAAATAATTTAGGTAATGAATATAATACTATACTTTCACTATAAGTTTAAAACACAATAAATAAAACCCAGACTTAAAAACCCCTTGTTTTTTGTTTACTGTCCCGATCTGGAATCCTAAATCCCGATTTTTTTGACCTCGTGTACCGATTTAAAACAAATCGGACCTGGCAACACTAGTCGTACGTAACGAGTACTAAGAATCAGTACACAGTTGACAATGATATTTCGGACTCGCAAACGTCACGAATTCGATATTAATTCGTGCTGAGGGTACAGTTCCATATTTGGAACTCATAAACAGTACACTCCATTTTAGGAAGTCGAAACTATTCATGAGCGTTTAAGCGTTTCTGCAGTTGTCGTATACCTAGTAGTTTAAAGAAAGTGAAACGAACCTTACAATAGCCGCGTATGATGTGTTACATTTAAAACCTCACCTTATATAAGTAAAAAAGGAAATAAAACCTACTACAAAAGGAGTTTGATTTTAGAACATTATGTTCTAAAATAAAATCAAATAGCGCGCGCTTTCGCGACTTCTCGTTACACACTTCTGTCCCATTTCACGAAATCACTCCCACAAATTGCGGGAAAGCGAGAGAAAAGATGTTACACATCAATAATTTATAATCAATGTAGTCACGTGGTACTCGAAGACCGTACTCGGCCAGTGAGAAGTTCACTTTCTCGAGACTAAAACTGATTGTTTAAACATTTTAATTTACTTTGATTCGCTTCGTTGCGTCACAGAGTTAAGCCGTTATCGCGATAAAAAGGAAGATAATATCTTTAATTTGGTAAGGGCCTGTTTTACAATCGTAAAGTAATTTCTAACCTGATACTGCTAAGCTGGTAACATAGAGGTACGTTTACCTACGCTGTACTATATAGCCATATAGCTTTTTTTTGAGTGTGTATGCTGTTGGTCGCAGATGACCTTTACAGCGTCACCGGGTTTGGGGACGGCGAGATCCTAAAGGGACCTAAAAGCCGAGAATTGGCGAGTGCCTCTAGAGGTATTCCAGGCGGATGGCCTCTCCCCACGGGGGGAGTCTCCTCTCCGTCTGAAGCCTCTAGAGCACTCGAACCTGAAGGGGTCGGCTCAACTAGAGGGCGTCCCTGAGACTCGGACCTCGGCTCTAGTTAGCCGTTGTCGTGGGATAGCTTATAAGCGTAGCACAATATCGCGCATCAAACATTTACATGGAACGCATTCATACAACGACTATGGGTTTTATGAGCTTGCTGTATGCGCTGTGCTATATAGCGCAATGATATAGCGTAGTCTGAAGTCAAATTTATGTTCGATATAGCTAACTTAGAACTTTACTCTTCGATTTTGAAACAGGCCCTAAGTAACAGTTTTCAATTATATCTAAACAATCTGTCCTTTTTAGGGTTTCGCTGTTCACAGCGACTTATATCTTATTTAACATAATAGACAGTTGAAATTTTCATAATTACACTTTAACGATAAATAATAAAAAAAATGTTTGCCCTTAAATAGGAAACATAATTTGTCGGTGCTTTTTGCCGATAAAGTTTGTATTAAATTATTTTACAATAAATAATGAATATACCCCGTAAAATAATATAACTATTTTAATTCTCCAAAATACTATTTCAAATAATGATTACCTACTAGATTTTTTATTTACATTTAAAAATGTCATTTATATATACAAATAATTTACCTAAGTAACACCTTTTGAGGTTAAGAAAAATACTTCCATATGAAATTCATATTATGTCTGTACAATTCGATAGCTACAGCTTAAATTCACAGTTTTTGGTAATATTAAATTTAAACACGTGATTGTAAATATTACATTGAAGCTAATTTAATTGCATGACAACGCTGGTAAATGTGGACCTAGAACAGTTCCTTGCGTGAGTCCGTTTTACGTTCACTTTTTACTTTGGGCCTGACTAGCACAATAGTTAAATTTATTTACTCGTAAGCTTTAATTTAAAAATAGCTGTAGTTGTACCTGAAAAAGAAATATTAAAGATTATTTATCAATAAAGAATAAATATAAGTACAAACCTAACATTGGGTTTTTATTGTACAAAATTATTTTTAATTAATAAATATTTTATATGGTATCAGCGACAATATCTTTTTCTATTTCATTGGGCGTATCATTATGAGCTATTTAAATAAAAGTACAATAATGGTCTCAATTCTGGCTTAATTATCTAAACCTAAAATTAAATCTGACAACAGTGTATCCTTGTCATTCTCTATACAGATTTAAATAGAGAGCCTATTGTCAATTTAGTTTTAAGTTTAGAGAATCATGTCAGAAACGACACCGATATTTATGTAATTAATAATTTTGGATAAATTTAAAAACAAACAAATTCAGGTATTATTTCGAAGTTTAGTTGCTTAACATTCTATCGGTATTGTCAATATTCCAAATAGCAACACCGCGTGGGAAGAATTTATGCTAGTCAATGTAGTAACGTGACGAAGTTTTGGTGTCCGCTCATAAAATCAATATTTTCATTGAATTCAGAATATTGAAATAATGAGTTATAAGGAAATATGAACTATAACGGCAATAGGCAATTAAAAGTAATGGTATAAAAACATTTGTTGACTACAAATGTTTTCTTATACCATTTTACATCGTACCTTCGTTGTCCATTTACGATGTTACAACAAAAGCTAGCGCAGGAAGCAGCAGCATTGTCACGGCTTTATAAAAAGTTGCACCTGAAAAAAAAGAAAATCGTTAATTTTCTGTTTGTGAAAAAAATAACAGTGTTCACCTTGGTGCAAAGGCCTATGCCTACTCTGGCAATGTTATAGTTTGGTGAAAACATTTTCGTTAGATGTCCATGGGATTATTTTGAAATTTTGGGATTGCTTTAAATGTTTAAGTTTTCATGATACTTAATACATTTTAATTGAAAACATCAATATATTACGAACTTTTATTCTAAAAGCTTTTACATTTTGACTAAGGTATTGCACCTATTCATAAAAACAAACATTACGAGCATCGAATATTCAGAAAACGATTTCAAATTCCTGTTTCACATTTAATAAATCATTAATATAATAAATCATTAAAGAAGTTTCACATCAAATAATCCATTAGTAACTTTGCAAGCATAATACACAATCTATTAATACTCTGAAAGCAGCAAATTTGTTGTTTGTAATTACAAACGTTAAAACTTAATCTGAATCCAATGTTTTCCATCCTTTAAATGCTCTAATTGCGAAAGCAGGTTGCTAACCTGGTTCGTCGACACAATTTGCTATCCACTTTCTTTGAATCTCAAGGGATTTTGCTGATTGAGGATTCAGTATCATATCCGTACTCAAGCGGGCACATACCTACGCGTACACATTTCTAACTTCTTCAATCAGTAAGCATTTTAAGATTTTTTAACGAATTACAGTTATAATTGATTTTATTACCGTTTTATTTTTTGTCAATCGCAGCTACTATAATTTTCGTAGTATTAGACTTTAGTTTTGGATCTTATACCTATTATATTTGTCGTCTATGTAAGCAACTTGATTGCTATTCCCGAAATTTGGTTGAAATTATCAAATCCAGCATTTAAAAATATTGTATGTATAATAAAAAAAAATCTTGTACAGACAGTGCTTGATCATATGTTTATTTTCATAATGTGCTGTAATAATCATCACGTTTTGTATATTTTAAACTCAAATAATGGGAGAACTCTTACTGAAAAAAAGCAGAAACCCATAACTATTATCAGATAAGAGAAATTCTGTTTCACATTGCCTTCCCAGAAAGGGTCCACAACAAAGTATCGTTACAAATGGAATCGTCTCCGCAGGACTCTTAGGGGCACGATTAAGGTAAGTATTGCAATAGTCAAGCGAAGATAAGAATGTCCTCATTAATTTCATCCAATTTTCCGGGATTTGCCCTAGTTGGATTAGGATGTTCTTGGCGTACGTAACGTTCCTCTTACATATATCATTATCCAGTTTGGCATATACATTATAATATAAAAGCAATATTATATTTATTGTTATACAGTAATGATGTACTATTCACAACAAGAATGTTATTATTCATGTCATATTACTCTGCCTATATTATCAATGAAATCATTAAACATCTGTTCCCTAATATTTTTTTTTCATACAACAAACAACTTTACTGCAACAATGAAGTTTTCTTATCTGTTGCGTTACATATTTGTATCGAGTTTCAGTTTTCTTTTAAGAGCTACACAATACAAGCTGCTCTGACAGCAATATGCATGTGTGTGTGGAAACCTAGTTCAGACGCTTTTTCGGCTTCAAAAATTTACGGTAAAATCGCCGTGCGCCGGTAGTCAGTGTTGCATGGACTACTATGGGAGCTTGTTGACACACGCGGCGGCGCTTCGGCACGCGCCGCCGGCCGCCGTTTGCACCGTGCCTGCTCATCGGCAAGCCGCTTCTACGTACGGCGTGAATTTCATCAGTGTTATATCGCAGTCTATGTGAGCGTGTCGACAGGCGCCGGACATTTTCACGTTTTCGTGAAGGCTTAAACAAGCTGCTTTTATTTTAAAAATAAATAATGGTAGATAAAATTTTTGATTAGCCCTTAGCATGAGTACCACGATATGATAATACCTCGTTTTTTTCACGCACAATTTTCAAATTACTATATCATAGGCAGTTGGACGCGATAAAAAACGTGATACAATGTACACCTATTGTAGTGCTCATGCTACGGGGATTGAAAAGAAATATGTATGCATTGAAATCCCATATTGTAAGATTTAAGTGGTGAATAAAACAGTCAGATAAAAGAGGCATCTGGCCAACGATATAAAATACCCTAGAATCACCAACACGAACATAATCGTGGCCGAAACCTGTCCAATGGGTACATTGGACGAACCACGGAGCCCCGTACAATGATCGCGTAGTCAAAAACAATATAAGACATTATTTAAACATTGAAAATCACCATTAATGCATACTACATAAGGTCTTAATTAAAATGCATGCGTCAAAGAGTTAGCTTATAAAATTTTACGACTTATTGCTATATGCTATTGCTTGATTGGGACACATTTTGAGCGCACATGGTGTATCTACGGTATTTAATATTATTGCATCTGGTCGTTCTCTCAAACACTCGATTTGCTATGTACAAAGTTAAGAATGATCTTCCGCTAGATATCAGAATGTCCCGCAGTAAATATACCTTTAAAACCAAACTGCGAAGCTTTTTATTAGAAGCGCGTTTCGTTGAGTGGTTTGTCGTCATTATTTTGTATTTATTTAGGAAGTATGTATGTATTTGTGTATTTATTTAAATATATTAACTTTTGTAGGTGTATGTTTATATATTATTATTTTTATAAACTTTTCTTTCAAAGTGATTTCCACTTCAGTTGTGCACCCTACCATTAATAATCTCCACAACATCCTATGGTTGACTGGTAGAGAATGCCTACGGTATTAAGTCCGCCATTGTACATTTGTGCATAAAGAATAAATAAATGAAAGAAAAATAAAGTTACAAGTTTTGTTAATCGTACGGTGTGCTAGCTGCGACGGTTAAAACACATGCTGTAACAAAAACCATCGTACCATATTACGCTCGATTTTCTGCACCTACCTAGCTTGTTACAATTACAAGGAGCATTTTATAATATAAGAATTACTTGTGTTGAATAAAATTACATGTATTTTACCTTTCGATCGTCCTACAGCCGCAGCTAATTGCATGTCCGCTGCTGTTGGCATTTCGGGGGTGGTGCTGATCGGTCCTAATTAACAAAGAAAACATAATAGCTTTCATTAACCTTCTTCACAACAGAATCAATGAAGCGTCGACCATCTTATAATAATAAATGAATCTCAATATGACATCACGTCACGGCAAACAAAATCGCTATCAATCATAATAATCCATCTTTCAACGTCCGATTGGCGGGTAAAAGGCTTCCGACTCGTGTCTTGCAAACTACAGGCTAGACTTGTTGACTTTTCATTAAGTATCCGGAGGCCTATAAAAATGTTTGTCTTGTTCCCTCACCGATATTCTATTACGCGAGCTTTATTTTTTGTTCTCCACCCACAATGAACTTAACGAACCATAAAATTATTCACGACGACTGGTGCAGGAAATGTTTCATCTCTCGTTCCTACAATTTAGATAGCTGCGTACACAAACTTTTCCTGATAAAAAGCTTAAATGGCCCTCTCGCAAATTATTCGCCGAATTGTTATTTTCACGGCGAGAGCGCCGCGTTAAAAATATTCTCCTTATTCTTGCCTCTCGGCATTAATGACGTTCGCCGACTTATAAAACAGTTAAATTGCTTGCTTTAAATAAATAAACAGCTTCTGTTTGCGTAGCCGTTTTATTCTGTCCGCGAGCTCTATGATTTCTTTGTCAGCTTAAGAAAAACTGGAGGTTCTATTCACGAGTCACTGAAAGTTAATTCTGAGACAGGATAAGGCGGTTTTATGCAGTCCTTTTCATGCCTACTTAATGAATTGCGAACTTTTCTTATAAGAATTAAGCCGTGCTGTGGGGTTAAACTGGAGTAAATCCATAAGGATTGCATTGTTTCCAAAATGAGTTATATTTATAAGAATACAAGTCATTTTCCAAAAATTCAGTTTAAACGCCTGATTAATATCATAAGGCGTTTTTTGATTCCGCCTTGTTGTAATTTAGCCCTTGCTGATAAATTTTATCAACTATAAAAATTCATTACAAGGTCGTCTTTTTTAACACCTTGGATAGAATTCATTTTAAATTCCCAAATAAATATTGTGTTAAAGCGATTTACTATTCATCTGCATAATTATGTAGAATTTATACCAAAGCCTAGAAAGTGTGTAATATTTCGGCGGACAGAACAAAATAATGGGCTACATAATGAGAGATACTCGAATAAGTAATTAATATTTGATTTGATGAATAACTCATTTGGGGAATCAAATAATATAGGTAACTTAGGCCCACTTTTACCAAAGATTGAAATTTAGGCTTTATCGTGTTTGAAACATCATGCCATCTTTTTCATTTGTTTAATGTCAAAAAGAGATAGCATGTAGTCTAAACGTGAGTAGCATTTAATTTTTAACTTTGGACCGAGTACGCTTTAGTGTCCAGAGTCGTAAGACTGCCATTGAAATATGAATAGATTATTGTAAATTTTCCAAAACATAATACTTTTGCCGGTGGTAATGATTTCAATTCAATTCCTACTCGAACAAAGAAATATTATGGTGACTCATTTCTTTGTCATACTGTTCGTAAGTGGAATTCTTTGCCCACGCACGTGTTCCCTCCTTCCTACAATCTGGGGTCTTTTAAGAGAGGCGTGAATAAGCATTTTTGCAGGCCGGCAAGGTGAGGATGGTTGCTGTAGCAGTTTATAACTGCTGTACCAGCTATCTTCGCGTTTGGACTTTATCACCACATAACATTAGGTGGGGTAGAGTCATTTGCCTACCTCGCCAAAAAAATAATATGTAAAGATGAATAAAACATATTTTTTCTTGGCATTTAAAAACTAAGTATATGTATTCACATGGACAATTTCATTAGTGAAAACGAACCTGGATAGTAAATAGCTTCTTTCCGGACTACGTAGTTGGCTTGCGGGATCCTAAGAGTGCAGATGAACTCAGCTGGGGAGGGTAGATCAGCATCTCTTAACGTGATCATGGCGAAGGCGGAGTATCTGCCGTTGACCAGCTTGTGACTGTGGGAGACGCCTTCCAATCGCCTGTTGGAGAGATCAATGACCGTAATTAAGTTATATTTGTTACTAGCGGCCCACCCTCAATTCGCTTCGGTGTAGAGCGTACGTGTAGACTACAGTTTTTGTTCTCAGTCTTGTATTATACACAATGACATTCATCTATGATTCTTCTTATACCTGCATGCAAAGTCTGAGCCCGATCGGTTTAATATTGACAAAGTTTCATACAAACTTTCATTCCCTATTTTATCCACTTGGGGGTAGAATTGATCAAAATCCTTTCTTAGCGGATGCCTACGTCATAACATCAACCTGCATGCCAAATTTCAGCCCGGTCCGTATCTAGATGTTTAAATCTAAAGAAAATTTTACTAGAAAATTTTCTATGCGGACCAGGTAGTAGATGGGACTCGACACAGCCGACAGGGCCACGGTAGCATAATGGTCAGTGCATTCGACCTGATAGCGTAGAGGATGATGGATGGCTTTAGATGAATGGATTTTTTTCTAGTAAAATTTTCAAACTCATACTCAAATCATTTATTGCAACCATAATGTGTACAGTTGGTGGTAGATACTTAAGATAATGAGCATTATGGACCCCGTCGGGCACGCAATTGGTTAGAAGAGAGGATGCACTTCCCAAATAAATAACACTAAAATTATAATTGGAAGACAAATATTGTTTTATATGTATGCTTATTTTTGATTGTGATAATTGGATTGGATTTTTATTTAGATTATCACTATCTGATTTAGTTATAAATAATAATAGCTTTTTACTTTAAAAAAATATAGTTAATAAAATTATCCTAATAAAATAAAAAAAAACATTATTTGTATACGTATATTAATAATAACTGATTTTATCTCTAAAATATTCATTATCATTTTAATAACATTTGTTAATTATAAATTCCTTTAATTTATAAATGGGAGATTGGGCCATGACCCACCACGCGGGCCCAGTGCAGATTGGTGGGTGTTAACGACTGCAGAGGCAGCCGGGACCAACGGCTTAACGTGCCTTCCGAAGCACGGAGGAACTCGAGATAGTACATTTTGCTTGCTCAACTTCAACGACAGCAGCCGAACCCGCTTACCACTGGCGCCATCGAGCTCCTTATTTTACTTTATTTATATTTATATCGGATATAGTAATAGTTCTGTGAAAATTCAGGTGTCTGGTCTGGTCAATCCCACGAAAATAATTGAAACCGTAAATAGCTGTATACGTTTGTATAGTTAATTTTTCTCATAAGACCACATGAACCTAACCCTTTTTTTCGAGAAGCACCCGATGTGTTAATCCAGTTAATAAAACGACCAGTATGCAGAATTTAGTCTAAGTGTCGCCGCACACGGGCCACCGACCACAACCACAAAACGCCGCCACCGGAATATTTCTTGTAATTTTCATGCATTTTATATGGACTCGCCACACACGGTACACCGGTGGCCGCCACACGCTACAAATCGTCGTTGCTCGCTTCTTGTGGCCCGCACCGGCTACTTAATGCACCGATACAAATACTGCCACTCGCGCAATTCCCCACCCCTCTCTCCCTTACCTTAGTCGGCCGCTGTCGCGCGCTTCAGCCACTTTAGTAGCCGCTTCTAGCTTCTCGTGGCGGCGTTTGTGGCTGTGGTGTGTGGCCCGAGCCCGTGTGCGGCGACACTAAATCCCTTCGCTCGTTACGTATTTAGATTGTTTGTCAAGTTTTTTAAGCCTTTGTTCGTATTCAAAGAAATACAATGTAATCTTACTTTACTCCGATTTTTATTAAAACGAAATGAGTAATAAATCTCAAGTTAGTTTTAAAGACCAATTATAACTTTGTGGAATAATACGAAACAAACCGTTATTATTACTTATTCTGAAACAAAAAGTTTTCACCTTAATAATTATGGCGGTAATTGTTTAGCTTGATATTTTTTTTAAGAAATTTCCCGTGCCGTGGGACTTAGAAACGTAAATTTAAAATGTTTTTACAGACTATTTTCAACTGTGACGTTTTCACCTGACTCGTTCCAGGAGCTTTACTCTGTTTCTACGAAACGAAATTTCGGTAACGAACGAATTTGAAACGTAATTTCGCCATTGACTCTACTCTATTTCATTTTCGAACAGGCACATTAACTTCGGAACCATAAACAGTTTTCGTGAACGAATGGAATGAGTCATGTTTGTGAATTCTTTTTATCTCTACTTTTAAGAAAACGTTTTTTTACTTGGAAACAATATAGGTAGTTTAGGGCAAATTTTTAATGACATTGAAAGAACCTTTTTTGACAGTGTTAGCCGACTAATTTGTAGAGTTGATACATTCTACTGTATGTCAACCTAAATTTGTCGTTTAATACTTTGAAGTATCGAAATTACAATAAATAATAAAAAAATGGTTTATTTGTTAATTTTACCTGCTAAAAATTTTTTCTCGCGCTAAGCAGCTATTATTAAAAATACTCTTGCAAGTATTTTAGGCTTAATAAAAACAAAAATATCAAAACGAAAATGAAAAGGTAACAATTTTCATTTCATCAATTTGAGGTTAAAATTTCGAACAATTATCTGTCAAATTCAACTTTTCCTTCGAAAGTTTTGTGAATTAGAGTAGGCTTGGAGAATTTAATTGTCAAACTATTTCAGACGAACGAATTTTCGAAATCAAAAGGAAACAGAGTAAGGAACGTGCGAAATTTCGATCGAAATTTCGTTTTTCGTTGAAATAGAGTAGGCCTCCTGGTACTTTTCGCAATTCGGATGAATAATTAATAAATGACATGTCATGTTCAAACGTAATAGAAATAAAGAGAGAAAAAGAACGAACAATAGTTTTGAACACATTTGCTCAAAAATGCATTTACGAAGGTTGTATACATTGTTCGAAAATTCAAAATTACGGGACATACAGCGGAGCGTGCAGTAATAGTACAATAAGATATAAGTGCGGTAAGTTGAGAATTACAGCCGAGGCGATATTGTTAGCCCGAGGCATAGGTGAGGGCTATAAGAAGGCAGAGGCTGTAATTATCGAACTGCCATACGATGTTTTATAACACATTTGCGAGGAAATAATACTACCTACGTACGTACTTTCTGAAAATGAATTTGCACCTTTGTTTGTTTTCCATAAGATGAAATTTTGATACGCTTGACTGTAAGTATCTATCCGTGGATTTTTCGGGCAAGAGGCTTAGCGTAGCCTTTTTCGACTTCTGGCGGTGTCAAATTAATGAATTCGTTATTACTTGACAATATATTCAAATAAAAACAATACAGCGAATAGAAAAAGATATAACTTTTTTCACAGATTCGCGCATCAACGCTTTTTTTAGACAAAGGAACAAAAAACAGCCAGTGTTACTAATAAAGTAAATTAATATTTTGTGAATTTGTTACCGATACATGGTTGTAATTTACTGTCAAAATGAATCAAATAAAATGTTAATATATTATATTTTATCTCCCAAAGTTAATTTTATTAAGAAAACGTTGGCTACCTTTCTGACATAAAAACTCTTTGCTAAGATTTAAAAAAAGGAACATAATAAGCCGTGCGTTTTATTCTACATTACCGCACGCGTGTGTAATGTGATAGATTATGATATTGAAATTGGTGCAATAAGAGACACGCAATTTACGAGCAAATGTGCCATATAATTCAGCATTCAGCATTCGTAAAATCCTCCCATACCATACGCATGACACCATGCGTATTCCTTGCTGTTTTTTTTAATTTCGATTTCTTCTCGGAAGTGCTTTTAGTCTATACCTATGTCTCACTTTAATACTAAAAAGAAAAAGAGAGGAAAGATGTAGTTCTAATTTTCACCACCCGCACGTGGCGCCATTTGGAAAAGCGCGCCATTTTCTTATAAGGAAAAAAATTCTTCATTAATTAACTTATGTATTATGTTTTCTCGCAAATGTGCTGAAAAACGTTGTATTACATTCATGCGGATTGGTATTACAAAAATTCTTCTACTTGTTTGTTTTAACCAACTTACCGCACTAATATCATCTCTTATCTATTAGACAAGTCCGTCCGTCCGTCCGTGGTGCTGTTTCAGCGGCCAAACCGTAAGAGATAGATATAGAGAATGTTTAAGTTATAAGTTAAGAATAGTCTGATAAGACTACAAACCGGATGTGAGTAACGTAGCACTTCCGGTTTTCGAGAAATCACGTGATTTCTATTTCAAACGAAACCACACAAAATCTCCGAAGTTCTCAATTAATTAAATACCTTTTTTTTGTGAACATTTGGTTCACTGGTTTGCTAGTAAATAACTATTGTGTGTTGGCTTGCTTTACCTACATGTCTATGTAATACTATTTTAATCGTCAATATTTCTTTGACCCTAGTATTAGGACTTCTTTTCGAACTTTTGCGTTAGCTTTGGCAATCAATAAAACAGAATCAATTATGGCCACTAGTATCCGGCGCAAGGGAAATCACTAAGATGATTGATATACTTGGCCCACGGTTCCCAACTTAGGTGTTTTGCCCCCAGATTTAGGGGCTAGAAGTGTTAAAACGGACTTTTTTAGGGGCTGGAATTTTTCGGGGGTTCTTTCAGGGGCTTTTATCAAAACTTGCAATTAAATCGAAAAACATAGCGTGTTTTCTTTCAGTTTTGTGCGTAGAATGGAACGCACAACGATATGAAACGACTGAACTGACTGTGTGGCGGGTAGTTTCCTAAGGCTGTATGGACTAAAGTTAAAAAATAGCTAAATAAGATTAAACAGCCTGTCAGCTCATTTTCGTTTCGGAAACTGTATTTATTCAATAAAATAATTTGTTGTTATTAAATATGTAATGTTTTAATTTATGAGCAACGAAAGAATTTGGGTAATGAAAAATATATAAATAATAAATTGGGAAAATTTTGTTAAGGGTTGGTAACACTGACTTGGCCTGGTCCAAGTTTACGGCCCTTAACTGTACTGCGGTAACGGTAGAAATTCGAGTTTTTAATCCAAGCTTACCAATGAAAAGTTCTTTATATTCGCTTAAAAATTCTCACTCACCGGTGTCACCGGGCGAATGGAAAAGGTTCGGGGGCGAACTTAATTTAGTGGTCGCCCTTGTTAATCGGGTCACTGGAAATTAGACAGGAAAGAGACGATCCAATGCTTGCCAAAGAGCGGACGCTGCGGAATACTTACCGGTTAGGTATCGAGGGAATTTATTACGTAACCGAGGAGAGTAGGTCTGCCTGCGTCCCCAAACCACTTTTGACGAGAAATTAATTTTGTAAGGATTATGTCTGTTTTCTGTAATAACCGCAAAGTAATGTGTATACTTTTTGTACAGAACAGCCGCCGCCCATAGTTTAATAATCATTATATAATATGTTGTAAATAGTAGCCTTAGATAGTTTTAAGTGAATTGTAAAATTGTTATATTATTTTGTTAATAAACGAGTTGCGCTTAGTCATTTCACGATAGGTACACATACTCACTTACACAACGCTGTGCGACTTCTTTCACCGCTACACCACTGCACATGCAACAACAAGCAACAGCAAGCGCACTGAAGCTAGAAAAGGGATCTTTCATTGAAGCTGCCAGCCCCATAGGCATCCGCAACCAACAGCACAGTATCGGACGGTTTAGGAAGAGCGCCACAGACGCCGTTCGATACACTTTTAAAGATGAAAATGTTAAGTTAATAACCTGCGCAGATGAGGGACTTTTGTCCGCGGACTTTATTGTCCACCGAAATGGAATTCTTATTACTGCATCGAGTAACGCATAAGAGACCATATAAAGTACCACGAACTAAAAGTCCCCCGAACACCCGAGAACACCGAGAGACCTGGAGCTCTACTCTCTTTCTCCGAAACGAAATTTCGGTAACGAACGAATTTTAAACGAAATTTCGCCAATAACTCTACTCTATTTCATTTTCGAACACGCACATAAAGTTCGGAATCACAGACAATTTTCGTGAACGAATGGAATGAGTCATGTTGTGACTTCTTTTATCACCACTTTTTAGATTACCTGGTTTACTTGGAAACCATATTAATTTACTTCAAAATTTTTGATGACATTAAAAGAACCTTCTTTGACAGTGTTAGCCGACTAATTTGTAGAGTTGATGCACTTCATTATATGTCAACCTAAATTTGTCGTTTAATAATTTGAAGTGTTGGAAATACAACACAACGTATTCTGAGAAAATAAACGAACATAGCGTGCGCTTTAAAAAAAAAATACGTTGAGTTCGGGACCAATTCTTAGAAGACATTGCTTCACGATTCAAGGACTTTTGTCTTCCACGGACTAAAGTCCTTCGTCTGAGCAGGCCATAAGTATTTCTTGTTTTTATGGAAACCATGTGGAAACATACATATGGAACGCCAGATGGTAAGTGGCCACCTTAATATAACACCTTATATAACTGGGACCTGGATGGCGCAAGTGGTTAGTGCATTTGGCTGCGATCGTTGAATTTAAGCAACTTTCGCAGTGGTCGGTCATTGGATGGGTGACCAAAAATCTCCTATCTCGAGTTCCTCCGTGCTTCGGAACGTTAAGCCGTTGGTCCCGGCTGCATCTGCAGTCGTTAGCACCCGCCAATCCGCATTGGGCCCGCGTGGTGGATCATGGCCCTATCTCCCTATTCCATCCATAGGGAAGGCCTGTGCCCCAGCAGTGGGGACATTAATAGGCTGATGATGATGATGATGATATAACTACAAAAACTTAAAGAAAACGATACGATAGAAACGATTTGACTCGCAATTTTGCAATTCATCTGAATACAAAGTTTTCTGCAAAAATAGATATAATCAGGGTTATTCGCGTAATAAACAATGCACCTGACTTTTTTAATTCGCGCTCGGATATAATATACGGCATGGTGACAATAATTGCCACTAAAAAAAATTATGGACTCAGAATTTATTTACTTTCAACGGATTTTGTCTGTTTAGCTCCACTAGACGACAAGGTTACAGCAACAATCAATAATAACTGTTGAGGCACAGGCCTTCCCTATGGATAAATAGCAAGATACCCATCTCTCTTAAAAATATAATTCTAAATTATCATTACAATTTTTACATTGAAATATTAAGGCCCACTTGCACGAAAGTTCGAAAAACCTTATCACCTTTTAGGACTAATTCCATCTCTATTGTTAATAATCTATATCTAAACAACATCTATTTTTCATCCCCCTAAATGTTAAGGGTAATCCACCCCTAAATTTGTTTTTTCAATTTTAGTTTTTTTTTAAATTTTTTTATGATACATCGTACAAAAATACATATAACCCTAAATTTTCACCCCTCTACCACCAACCCCTATTTTTTTATGGCGGTACGAAGGTCGCTGGGTCAGCTAGTCTTATATATAAAATTCTCGTGTCACAATGTTAGTTACCATACTCCTCCGAAACGGCCTGACCGATTTTTATGAATTTATATATACATATTCCGTGCGTCTGAGAATCGGCTACTATCTATTTTTCATATCCTTAAGTCATAAATTAAATTCAAACTATTGGGTATTGTAACGTAGCGTTCTCATATGGGTTAGGCGGAATGTTATCCCAGAAAATTGATAGAACACTACGTTACACACCTCTAAAAATTTTTTTTGGACAATTTTTATTTTTTCTTTCATAATATGGTATTAAAAATACATATAACCCTAAATTTTCTTTTCGACACTTGCCCCTAGTTCAGTGTTTCCCAACCTTTCCAATACTGCTACCCCTGTAACCTATTAGGAAAATAGATTTTACCCCGACTTTAAAATGTTATCATCAGTTCAAGACCTATTAGGCCGCTACATCTTCGTCTCTAATAATGTCATCATCAGGAGTAAATCTCACCCCGCTTCCCACAATCAGCACCCCGCGGGCTCGCTAGCAAGAAGGACCACATGCTCTATTTAGTAGTATTATTATATAGTATTTTCTTATTTAGATTTGATCAAATAATAAAGTTCTTTGTTACCCCCGAAGTATGGCTGATTTACCCCCGGAGGGGTAATAGGGATGATGACTATTTTTTTTTTCTTCGTTTATCAGGTAGATTATCAAAAAGGATTGGACAGGTATTTTTTCTTTTTCACATAATATAAACATTGCAGAGATTGATTTGAAAAGTCGCATGACGTCATGTTTGAGTACACTTATAAGGGGAAATTCACTCAAAAGTGACGTCACGAGCCCCTACTCCCAAACTTTGACGCGCTATAACTTTGTCATTTTTTGGTTGATTGCCCAAAGAAAAAATACGTGTCCATTATTTTTTGACCATCTAACTGACGGACTAAATAGATTTAGACCCCGTCATCATCCCTATTACCCCCAGGTTCGGAACCCAGGCCCTAGTTTTATGGCGGTAAGAAGTTCGCTGGGTCAGCTAGTATAAATATAATTATCAATTGACAAAGATCGAAGGATGTACTAAACACGATTAAACCTATATTTGAATTAAGAACTTTGGAACAAGAAGGTACAAGAAAATTATGTGTTCCAATCCAAAGACTAATGATATTTTCTAAAAATGCATATTGTATGTCCATTCGTATATTTAATAAGTTACCCTCAAATATAACAAAAACTGAATTTAACCAAATTTAGGACTGAATTATTTACATTTTTAATTAACAAAATGTACTATACAATTAATGAATTTTTAAATGATAAAACACCCTAATATATATTTGGTGGACATTCGTGTGTACTTAATTTAATAGTATAAAGTATGTAAATGATAAATATATGTAATTTACTGACATTATTTCAATATCGATGCAATTTTTCCTGACTTTTTAATTATGAATAGATTATAAGTACCTTTTTTTATGACATTGCGTATAACTATTATCTTTACATTAATTTTATTTATTTTGACGTCACTGAACCTCATTAATTTAATTGTCTTCTATATTATGTAATATTTGCACGTTGACATTAACAAAATATGCTGGAAACTAAAGAGCTAACAACTATTGTAACCATATTTTGGCAAATAAATGATTATTATTATTATTAAAGAGAAATAAAAGTGACAACATCCCACCTGTCAGGCGTGGCGAGCGTCAAGTTGGGCGCAGGGAACGCGCCCTCCGCCGCGCATATTACGTTCACCGTGTCGTCGTCCGTCTTGTTCTGGATCAAGCGGAAATTTGACTCGGGAACTGTAACAAGACACCACGAGGTCAAAACTTTTATAAATATTAAACTCCTTGTTTTTGGACAGACGGGTACTCGCAATACACAGATGCGAAGCGGAGGTGTCCGTTTTTATTAAAGAAGTTTTAGAGAAATGTTAAAGAGATGAATTTAAAACTCAAACTCATATAAAGAAAATATAACTAGAAAAAATTCCACGCGGATCAGGCAGCAGACGGGACTCGAACCCGCACCCTGGCTGGTCCGCGTGGAATTTTTTCTAGTTATATTTTCTTTAGATTTAAACATCAAGCAGTAGTAAAATAATAAAAAATCAAATTCATTTATTCAGTCTAGGTTGTTACAAGCACTTAATGAAGGTCAAGAAGCTACGCCATCGGTTCGCGAAACTACGGCGTGAGACCTTGTACTGAGAAGAACCGGCAAGAAACTCAGCAAGGACTGTTTTTTTCTCCCTATATTGTTATACACAGAGTCGTCAAGTTGAAAAATGACTTCAGAGATACTTCTGAAGTCACCTTCCATTACATTATCTAATATATGTATATTATTATGGGCATAAAATTAAAGGCTTATTAATGGTTCCTTCCTACCGTTTGGATTCTTTACAATTTCTGTGCTAACAAAACAATATACACTCTTTATAAGTGACGACCTCCGTGGCCGAGTGGTTTGTACGCCGGGTTTCATGGTGTCGCCGACTCGAGAGGTCCCGTGTTCGAATCCCGGTGGGGGCAGAGGTTTGTGTGATGAATACGAGCATTTGTACTCCAGTCATGGATGTTTAATATGTATTTATATAAATATTCTTATATATGTACAGTGTATGTATTCTATCCGTTACCCTAGCATCCCATAACACAAGCCTTATAGTGTTTACTTTGGGGCTACGCTAATTGGTGTGAGTGTTAGAAATATTAATTTATTTATTTATAACCTCTTAATACTGCTTTTTATAGTCAGGTAGGCAAATGACTCTACCCCACATCATGTTAAGCAGTGGTAAAAATCTAGACGCGAAGATGGCTAGTAAAGCAGTTTTATACAGCCAAACCAACCATCCTCACCTTTGGCCGGCCGGCATAAATGCATCATGCATCTTTTAAAGGACCCTAATTTGAAGATATTTAGCAGTTAAGAGAAAACTTTAATAAGCCATTTTACAACACATCACAAAAGAATAATGCCGAGATTTTCAACAACAGCCAAAAAGCTAGATTCGAGCGAAATATTTTCGATACATAAAATAAGGTTGTATCCTAAGTACAGGCCATTTCCATTTACGTAATAAAGGAGATTGTACTGCCTATGCCGAAGCCCTCTCGATACGGGTACATATTGCGAGTACCGGCTTTCATTGGCGAGGCCTTACAACACATCCAAATGTCGTCGACATAAAAAGATGATGTCCTCAACAGATGACGGCAAGCGACGAAAACTCCCGTTGTAAGAATAATAAAAAGTAGCTTTTATACTTACTTGAATTTAAATAAGTTAGAATTTATAGAGAAAACTCTATAAGGAGTTATAGTTTGAAATATAGGAAAAGGAGACCCGGCACTTTTCATAGAAAAAATGCTAAACTTGTATACAATTGAATTTGGTCTCAAAATAAAGCCAAAATTATTTGCTACATAAAACTACTTTTGCCTTATTTTTAGTGAATCGTGCAAAGAAGTTATATACTGATTAATATTTTTTGATATGATATAAACCCTAAATCTTCAAGGGACAGAATTTTACTACAAAATATTACTCAAGTGACTGTAAAAACCATTATTCCTTTGCTTTTTCTAAATAAAAAACCAAATGTCAATTTGAAAATCCTAAAATACAAACAAAAAATCATTCGCATTTCGCATCCGCTCTCGCGAACTGTGATTGTGAATGTTCTCTGCTATGATTGCCTTTTTATCTGTCATTTCTCTTGAAGACCCGGCTACATATAGAGGTTATATTGACAAACCTATGTATTTGACATTGACAGCTAGCTGCTGATGACAAATATTGCCAGACTACGTTACCCAATTATGAAACACAGATAAAAAAAATTAAAAAGTATACAACTTTGGCACAAAATTCCGGGTGTCCTTTTGAACGCAGGAAATTCTTTTTGTTGTACGCCGAGGATGCTACGACTGATCTAAACAAGATGTAAAAGCTAACGGATAAAATGCAATTTCAATTAAGTAAGGTCGCACATACGTCGCTTTACAGTACACGTAGCACGAAACAATATCGAATTCGAATAGTTTGCGAGTGCGAAATGTCAATGTCAATTTTTTTATGGAAACTCGAACAGCAGCGCCACGACGGACGTAACGAGAACAAAAATCCGTACACATTTTGACGTATCATCATCATCATCAGCCTATTAATGTCCCCACTGCTGGGGCACAGACCTTCCCTATGGAGGGAATAGGGAGATTGGGCCATGACCCACCACGCAGGCCCAGTGCGGATTGGTGGGTGCTAACGACTGCAGATGCAGCCGGGACCAACGGCTTAACGTGCCTTCCGAAGCACGGAGGAGCTCGAGATAGTAAATTTTTGGTCACCCATCCAATGACCGACCACTGCGAAAGTATACGACGTATATCTAAATCGAATTCAACTATTCGAATTCAATAATGGTTCGTGCTAAGAGTACTGTACTGTACCTTTAGCACGAACTAATATTCGAATAGTTTGCGAATGCGAAATGTCATTGTCAAATATGTACCGATTTTTAGTTCTCGTTACGTCCGTTATAGCGCTGCGGTTCAAACTTTCATACAAAAATTTGACAATGACATTTTTTCAGTGCAGATCGTTTAGATGGGGCACTAAAACTAAACTTTTACCCAATCAGTGTTTTCATAAAGAATTTATCTAGCCTATATTTTAATTCATGTAGAAACCTTTGTTGGTTAAGCATATTAATGAACAAGTGCTTATTATACACGGTGTTTCAAAAATACCCTTAAAGGGAAAAGGGTGTTAGAGGTTCCCTTATATCAAGCTCATTTCCAATAAAAACAACTGTAGCTTAATATTATTATTTGCCGAAAAATTTATTATTTTTCATAAAAAAATTTAATTAAATGCAATGAGCTCTATTTCAGGGACCCTCTAACACCCTTTTCGTTTGAGGGGTATTGTTACGTGTCAGGATGTGTCAGTTCACACAATGTTAATTACAAAACACTCACTAAACACTGTATTTCACTAAACAAGTCTCTAAACTATCGCACTTGAACACTTTTGTTGCACTTTGATCGCCTTTGCATTCGCTCCGAAATCGCTGTTGAAACTCAATTGTTTCAGCGCGGCGCCAATCGCGCTTATATACGCCGATCGACGCATTCTAGAAAGTACTTGTTCAATTGAGAATTAACTAGCACCCGCGAGTACAAAGTACCTACTTATACCTACGCAGGTAACGCGCATCACTTGTAAACAAGTGCAGATGTCGTTGCACTTTCTCCCTTACGCCGCACTGCATAAGGCTCATTTTAGAATGAGCCGCATTACTCGACCTCTATCGCGACCTGCGGTGCTCATTCGATCTCTAGCACATTCGCGGTTCTGTTTCGAAAGCGTTTGTGACAGTATTTTTGAAACACCATGCATATAGGTTTTATATTAAAAAATGTTTTTTCCGTTCATGTTGTCAACATATTATAAGCTTGTCACTTTCATCACAATCTATTTTAGTCGAAGCAATTAAAACTAAATTCACACGTTCTCATAAATGTCCTCAGAATCGTGTGTATAGTATAGTGTATTCTAATCATGACGAGTTTACGAGTTTTATATTAGACACGTGAACTTTTCTGGTATTTTTCCATTAAAATTTATATTGTGACAAAAATATTTCGTGTCTCTATATTATTTCAATAACACATTTCCTACTATTCAGAAAATACTAGCTTACAAATTTCATAACTATATGAAAAAAAGTAAAATAATTTATTTGCAAATAAGTTTCTATGCATTAAACCATAATGTTATTTTTTATAATAGTTGTTCGTTTTACGTATTCTATAATTTTGTATGAAGCTTTTAATATTTGGCTGTCAATGTCATATAATTCAGCGAAAATGAATTTCGTCAAATTGTTTCCGGCGTCTAATACTGAGGCAGGTATTAAATATTTGTTTCTTAGGTTTTCACGCACATCACTCATTAAATAAAACTAGTTTTTCACGGGTTAATGCACTAAACTTTATTTATTTAATGACGTTTCGCAGCCTTTACAGGCTACTTCGTCGGAATATTTTTTTTTTTATTTTATTGGAACGAAGTTCCTTACGGCAGGCTTGGAGGGGATAGGGATTTTGCTGCGCGACCGAACTGAAAAAAATGTGATAGTAAAACCGTAAGAAAAAATCCGTGGAAAAAAGTGCGTGGAAAAAAAACCGTTAAATGAGACGTGCGCAAGCGCGACAGTCGCATACACAAGCGAGGCTTGGAGGGCTTGGAGGGGATAGGGATTTTGCTGCGCGACCGAACTGAAAAAAATGTGATAGTAAAACCGTAAGAAAAAATCCGCGCAAAAAAGTGCGTGGAATAAAACCGTTAAATGAGACGTGCGCATGCGCGACAGTCGCATACACAAGCGAGTTTGCAATTTGTGTCGATTCTACATTAGCCGAAGGAACTTCGTTCCCACTTGGTGTCCTACGACACCACATCATTTTTTTATTTTAAAAATTGAATAAAAAAAAACAATCAATCGTCAATAAATAAATAAAGTTTCGTGCATTAACCCGTGAAAACTAGTTTTAATCAGATATTAAATTCTAAAGTTAACGCACGATCAATACATACTATTTTTTTTTCTTGTAGGATTTCACAAATACACACAGATATTCAATTTAAGCTGTGCTACAACATCTTTTTTTACCATCTCATTCAAGTGATTCGATAACTGAGATCTATAAGCGTTTTACAACTAAGTAAGAAACCTATGGAAACAAAATTCTTAGAACTGAATACTGAAAAGAAATTTTGCAACAGCTTA